CGGGCGGCAGGAGCTGGGAGGGGACGGAGTTTCCGGCAGACTGTTTGCCGGCACTGGCTTCGAGGTCTGTGTATGAAAGGTGACGCCTGTGGGTTCCTCCATCAGTACGATAAGTCGCGTATGCCTGTTTGCCGGTTTTTCCGATTGTACGGCGAGTGTCGGGAGCAGGATTGTGTGTATAAGCATACCAATGAGGATATCAAGGAATGTAATATGTATGTACATTTGCTTAAAGGTTTCAGTTTGGTGGTGTTTTTCGCTCCTTGCTCCTGCTGTCCATTCATGGAACATGAGTTCAATTGTATCTTTTTGACCAGGAGATTCTTGTCTACTGTGTTGCCGGTTCTGTTCTATTTTCGTTAAGATCACTACTGGTAGTAGCATCATTCCATTACCACGCTCATGGGTTTCATGAGTTATGTAGATGTACATATTACATGACAACAGTTTTGTGTAAGCATTTAGACAGGCTCTTTGCCTGCTGCACACTTGTATTTTACTACACTTCAATATTAACGATTGTTTGTATAAGTTGTTGGAATTTTCTCTATGTTCTGAAGACTTCAAGACCTTTATATATGTTTTCTTTCATGATTACTGAACATGCCTTACAATTTTATTGGAAGGTACAAGCTCGGGTTCTGTCCTAATGGTCCTGATTGCCGGTACAGACACGCAAAGCTTCCTGGACCTCCACCTTCGGTGGAAGAAGTCTTTCAGAAGATACAGCAGCTGACTTCATACAATTATGGGCCAAATAGGTTCTATCAACAACGGAATGCTGCTCTGCAGCAAACAGATAAATCTCAGGTTCAAGGCCCTGCCTCCACGACACAAGGGCCACCACAAGAATCAGGTAACTTGCAGCCGCAACAAGAACCTCAACAACCGGGCAGCCAAACACAGATGCAAAATCCTGCCGACCAAAATAACAGAATAGCTCGTCCTTTGCCTCAAGGGGTGACTAGGTGTGTTCAGAGTACCGATGTCTTTAATTAGGTCATGTAAATCTGTTTCTCTATAATCAGGCCATTGTTAAAGGTCTGTTATTGAACCATTGGCTTCTTATTGGAGTTTTGATTGACATAAAAAATGTTTATAGTTCCTTACAAGTTCGAAAACCTTAGGCTTTATATGTTTAATCTCATGCTGTGCTGCTACTATGAACATGATTTATGAATTTCTTCTTCCTTTATCTTGAGGTAGTATTCACAGATTATTTCTCTTCCTTTTCTTTTAGTTTGTATCTGAGAAGAACACAAACATCTATCTGCTTCTGGACAGACATGTCATGATGATCTATCTGTGAGAGGCTTTGAAGACGGTTGCTTTTATTTTTTCATATACAGATCATGGTTCTGTGATATATCATTTTCTTTTTCATCATAGTTCTTGAAAGCCTTATCCCTTTAAGAACACACTGAGCCTTTTTTTTTTGTTGCAGATTAAAGCTATTATATTTAGGGCATTGTTTTGCTCTTGTGAATTACTTAGCATTCTGAACAATTGCCTAAGTACTGTTGGCTTTCAACAGGACATTCTTGCAATCAAAAGAGTGTTTCTTTTTCCTTGTGATTTTATGTCATCATGAAGGTTCATTATTCCTCTTGCATCGTATAGAATCTGATATGATATGCTAAAGTTAGAATGGATTTAGCTTTTCTTTTAAACACTTATGACAAGGCCAAGATTGATTTCTGCTGAAATATGTTGGAAACGGTTCTGATTTTCTTCCTTTTATTCCATTGTTCACAAGTTTGTGTGTGCATGCTTGTCTGGATGAGTATTAGTCATTGTCAATGTGAATATATTTCAAGATTTCAGGTTTCTTTTTACAATGATAAGGTTGGTCTATATAGTTAGTCTCGTTTTTAGCTTTCAGGATTGTTGTCAAAATTTTGTGCTTTTTTTCTTACATGGAGTCAAATCGTGGTATTACTGATGTCAGTGCTTCTTGGTTGAGAAGGTTCACAATTTTTTGGATTTCATTTGTTCACATACTTTGTGCACAATAAAGTTTCATTCTCCTGCTATTTTCTTTTCTTTGTGAATATACAGATACAACCAGACTGATGATGATGTGTCCAATTCTAATCTTCTTTTTTCGGATGTCATTTGCGAGACTTTTCCTATGGCTCTCTAGGAGTTAGTAGTCTATTCATTGCTTTCTGGTGCCTCATCTAATAGCTATGAAGCATTGCAAGTTGCTATATAGCTAAAACTCTGGAGTTTCTAATGAGTAATCTGAGCTGGGAATGCAAACTTAGATTTTGAGTAGGTTTTCATCTTTTTGGATGATGCTACTATTGATGGCTCGCTTTTAGATGTCGATATATCTCATATTTCGTCCTGAAATTGTTATACCTATAGATTCTGTGATAAAGGAATACTTCTTTCTTCTGTTATTCTGTGCTCTTGTTGGTGCAATCCTGTTACTGTTGGTTCACAATGATTATCAATCCTGTGTGATATATTCTATCAACTTGTTTTTTTCAGATATTTCATTGTTAAAAGCTGCAACCGGGAAAATCTGGAATTATCTGTGCAACAAGGAGTATGGGCAACACAAAGGAGCAATGAAGCTAAACTCAATGAAGCTTTTGATTCTGTCGAAAATGTAATCTTGATATTTTCAGTCAACCGAACTCGGCACTTCCAGGTAGTTTAGTGGATTAAATATGTGTACCTGTTCATTTGTATCAATGATTGCCTATCTACATTTCTTTGTGGTAGTGTTTAGCGTATGATTCTACATACTTTTGGTCTGTGATCCATTTAGGGCTGTGCCAAGATGACATCCAGAATTGGCGGTTCCATTGGTGGAGGAAATTGGAAACATGAACATGGAACTGCACAATATGGGCGAAACTTCTCAGTTAAATGGTTGAAGGTACATACTGTGACACAGTTTCGTCATTCTTGATCAGTCGTAAACTATTCAACTTGTTCCATTTTGTGATTGATATATAAGATCATGGGCTTTCCGTAAATCCGAGGTTTAAAGGTTAAATTAGTTTCTGACATTTAAGATTGGCTGTGTACCATGCCAATGACATGTTTCACACCTTGCTTGAAAGACAATTTTTCCTTTTTAAAACGTCAACTTGTTCTTCTCAGACCGATATCCTTTTTTTTTGTTTCGGTTTTGTCAAGGTCGACAATGCATTCTGGAAAATTGATGCAAGGGACAAGAAATTTTTTACCTAAAATGATGTAGAATTTGTTCTATTGCCTTCTGATGATGAATGATTGTAATTCTTATAATGTAGTTATGCGAACTATCCTTCCACAAAACTCGGCATTTGATTAACCCTTACAATGACAACTTGCCTGTAAAGGTACGCGGTTCTTCTCATGATTGTTTATTTGTCGAAATTCGGTACTGTAATGTTGTTCTTGTAAAAGTAGCTGGTTTTGGTAATGGTAATTGTTGTAGTAAAGTGTATTTGTATGTACTCTGGTCTTTTTTTCATCTTACTACTCTTATTGGTTCAATGACTGTAGATAAGCAGAGATTGTCAGGAGTTAGAGCCCTCCATTGGTGAGCAGCTGGCTTCTTTGCTTTATCTCGAACCAGATAGCGAGCTTATGGTAATTCTTTACTTTCTGTTTCTCTTGTCACGTTTACAAGCCAAAGAAATGATTTTCAGAATGAAGAATCGTTCTCCATAACATTCATTCTGTCCATTTTTATCTTATAGAACGGCATGAACTGTCAATAACTATTTTTTTTATGTGAATGGTAGGCGATCTCCGTTGCAGCAGAAGCTAAACGAGAAGAAGAAAAAGCAAAGGGAGTAAATCCCGAGAGCAGGGTGGAGAATCCGGATATCGTCCCGTTTGAGGACAACGAAGAAGAGGAAGAGGAAGAAGAAGAGAGTGAAGAGGAAGATGATGGGATGGCAGGAGGTGGTCCACAAGGCAGGGGAAGGGGAAGAGGAATGATGTGGCCGCCGCCTCAAATGCCGTTAGTACGTGGAGCCAGACCAATGCCCGGTATGGGAGGCTTTCCTATCGGGGTAATGGGACCCGACCCGTTTCCTTACGGACCCGTCGGTGGCTATGGCATGCCCGATCATCCCTTTGGTGTCGCCCCCAGACCCTTTGGGCCATATGGTCCGAGATTTGGCAACGACTTCAGGGGTCCCCCCATCCCGGGAATGATGTTTCCCGGAAGGCCCCAACAACCGTTCCCGCCAGGTGGTTTTATGATGGGTGGCCCAGGACGTGGCCCTCTTATGGGCGGAATGGGACCCTCGGGTCCTAGAGGTGGACGACCTATGTACCCTCCACCACCACCATTGCAACCTCAAAACTCGACATCAGTGCGTTCTGTCGGGAAAGACCAGAAGACGACGCCGGAGAGAGGCGGCACCGGACAAGAGATGGCTGCTCAAAACGAAGAGGGTCGGTTAGAGACGAGAAACGAGGAGAGCGAAAGCGAAGAAGACGAAGCCCCGAGGCGGTCAAGACACGGAGAAGGAAAGAAGAGGCGGTGAGAAAAGGCAAGGGAACTAACTATTTATGTCATGGAAATAACAACACATTGTTTCTTTGTCGGATGATATACAGTGGCTTTCGATTTGGTCTCTCTGGTCTTGATGAAACAGATTAATACTAACATCTCGTGTTTTGTAAGGGAAAGACTTGTTAGAATGACAATGCAGTTTTGAGGATATGGAATCAGATTTTTCACCAATGGCTCTCTCTCTAATGGTTTTGTAGGGTTAGGTTCAGTTCGGGAATGGTTCCATTCGATTCTTTCGGTTTTATAAAATTATGTATCAATCGGTTATTATTTTATATTTGGTTCGGTTTTGGTTTCCGTCCTATTCAGTTTCGTTTTTTATTAAAAAAAAATTAGATATTTAAAAAAATATTGGTTTTTCGGATTTTTTTAAATTCACTTCGGTTCCAGAGGTTCCGGAAAATTCTATCTAAAAAAAATATCTTTCGAAAATTTTATACGATTTCGTTTAAAAAAAATATCGTTTTTTTTTAATTCAGAACGGTTTAATTACGAGAAACCGTACCGAAAACGTCTAAATGATATATATTCAAAACGAATTGAAGTAATTAAAATTAAATAATCTTTATATTATGAATTTTTAGAACCTGAAATAATTAAATTTGAATTAACAATATATTGAATAAATTGAATTTGAATTAACAGAATAAAGTGAATCTAACCGTTTATCCACTTATTTATAATCGATTAATACACAATATATGATATATTTAATTAAAAAAATTTAAGATAATGAGATTATTTATTTAGTTTTATAACTATAATATATAAGCCTTTATTTTTTTCAACAATGTTCCAAAATTTATTTTATTTATTATTATTACCGAAGGAGTTTTTATTCGATTATTATTAGGTTATAATTTTAACTAGATACAACTATAATCAAATCGATCCGAGTAAAACCATGTAACCGTTTGATTATTAATTTTTAAAACTCGAAATAAATAAATCCAAATGAACTATAATCGAATAAACTGATTGCCTACCCCAAGCAGCATTATAAAAAATCGTAATTATTATAATAAATCTAACGAACAATGTCTCATTGTTTTTTTTTTTAATTTTTAAATTTGACTTTGGATCCAAATTTGGATAAAAACAAAACAACATTTTTCAAACTCTCTCTCTCCAATTATCCAGTTTGTTTATACTTCCCTTTCTTCTAGAAAAAAACAGAGATATTATTTTTTATTTGGTTTCTCAAAATTAAAGAGTTATCCCCATACTATTATTGCTTCGAAATAAACCCCCCTACTTTTTTCTGCAGTACAACTCACTGTCATTTGAAAAATAGAAAGGGATTTTTTTGGTTTTGATTCAATTATTTTAGATTCCCTTTAAAAAAATGTATATATATTTACTTGATTCGGTTATATTTTTATTTATATTCGGTCTAAATTCAATTTTAACATTAAATATTTATCTCCTCAATACTTTTTATTTGTTAGTTTTCCGATTATTTTCATATTCAATTCGCATTTAATTTTTTCTATTACAAAAATTTAATATATATTTTGATTTTTTATTGATTATATATCCATAATCAAAACATATCATATTCCAAAATGAAAATACATAAATCAAATTTTCAAAACTCTAATAACTTGTAAAATAATACTAAATTAAAATTTTTGAAGAATAGAAGTAACGAAAACTTTTAGATTCAATTCATTTTAAGTCATACAAAAGTAATTAGAGTAGAATAATTTTAAATTTATTCAAAATATATCGCATTTCCAAGTGAAAAAAATAAATTAAATTTGGAAGACTCTAATAAACTTGTAGAATAATTTACTTCCCTATTAATATATATTCATTTTATTTCACAAAAAAATAATACTAAATTTAAAATTTTGAAGAATATAAGTACTGAAAACTTTTAGATTCAACTCATTTAAAGTCATACAAACCTAATTAGAGTAGAATAATTTTAAATTGATTCAAAATCGATCCAAATAACTTGAAAGGGTACTTAATGGAAACAAATATAAATATAGGGGTTTTATTTAAAAATATGTACAATTCAGGGCGCCGTTTTGAAAATTTCCAGACACGAAGACACTCTGTAGCGTGCTGCTACTGTTCCGTTGCTTTTCCATTTCTTTCCTTTTTCCTCTCTCTGTTTTTTTTTCAATGTTCTTCCTCAAACCATTCTCCCTCTCCAGCTTTTTACTTCTCTGTCGCCACAATTCATCGCTTCAATCGTCTTCGTCTTTTTTTGTTTTGTTTGGGAAATCACCAAAAACCCTAGTTTTGCTGTGTGACGAGTGAAGGTCGCTTCGTTTTTTGTTGGTTCGTCCAGATCTACATATCCGTTTCAATTCGCTTGTTTCTTCGCGAATTTCCCCGTTTCCTTGGTTTGAAACTGCCGGAGACTTCGCCGGAATCTCGCCGTGGAACATGCATTTTCCGGCGGTTTACATGAAACGGGCAAAAATGGGTTCTTCCGCTTCTTGGTTGCTTCTTTGTTAGCGCCATAGTTTGTATTTGGTAAGTTTTTTTCCCGTGTTATCCGTTTTCTTTCTTACATTCTTCGTGAATTCGGGTCTTGTCGTTGTTCGAAATTTCTGACAGCGTATTATTCTATGCATTTTCCCCTGAATTTCTTGGCGTTTTTTTTTGTGAAATTACGCGCAAGTGTGAGCGATTTGTTTCCTCGAATTTTCTTTCTCCGGATTGTTTTTCTTTCCAGATTCTGTCGGGCTTTTTCTTGTGTTTCTTTTCTGTGTTTTGGTCGTTAGTGAAATGAGCAAAGTTGGCAAGAAACCGACAGTGTAGCCGAAACAAGTTAGAAAGCTTATTGTCTGTTTTCTTTGAATGAGAGAATCTGCGAGATACGTAATGATAGGGAAACAGTGGGTCGAGAAAAATCGTTTCTTTCCTTGTCACATTTCTCAATTATCCAACTTCAGCAGAAATTCTTTGAATGTGTTCTTATCCGAAACATTGATCTTGATGAGTATGGATTGTGCGTTCGTTTTCTTCTAATAGGATATTTATTTGCATCGAGAGCTTCACTTAATCTGAATCCAAATGGAGGAAGCAACATCAAATTCAGGTGCAGAAGCTTTAGAAATGTCAGTTGATGCCGAGAAACAGCACAATGTATCTACAAATGATGGAAGGAGAAGTCCAGACAGTGTCTCGGGAGTGTCTGTGGTGTCAAGTCGTACTGCTACTACTAAGAAGAAATCAGAAGTAGTTTCGAAACCGACGAAGCCAACTGTGTCTTCTTCATTACGGGTCTCGAACTCTGTCCCTGTGACCCGGAGAAATAGCACTGGAGGAGTACCTGAGAAGTCCAATGGTGTCAATAAAGTTTTGACGAAAAGGACAAATACTGCTTCAGTGAGGCAGTCGCTTCCAGAGCTGAGGAGGAGTTCACTTCCTTCGGTTTCTGCAAAGCCTGGATCTAGAGCAAGCATTCCTGATACTAGGAAATCTGTCCCAACTTCACCTGCTGGTCTGAATTTGACAAAATCAACTGGGTCTGGTTCAAGTAAGCCTGATATTACCAAGAAGTCTTTAGCGAAAGCGAAGCCAGACACAAGTGTCTCCATTTCTTCTAAAAGAGGCCCATCTTCATCTGTTGACAGTAGTGGCAGCACTACAAGCACTTCAAGAGTGCGTTCTGCGCTCACAACAAGTAGAAAGACAGCCTCTAAGGTCTATTCTCCTGCTGGATCACCATCGGTTTCTAGTGGTTTAAGAACTCGAGCATTGTCTACATCCCTTGATCAGAGTTCCAACTTTTCTGGGAGGAAGAAAACAGCTACCCCGGAAAGTCGTGATTTGCGGCTTGTCATTCTTCCGCAGGTTGAGGTTAAAGCTAGCGATGATGTGGTAAGAACTTCCTTATTGCGTTTGCTGCCACTATCTTTATACTTGTTGCTAGGTTTCACATATAAGGTTGTGCTGTTAATTTTACTTCATTATATTCTGTTTCTCTCCCTTTTTTTTATATTAAAAACTAATTAGTTGTTTGTAATTTCTTAAGAGATTGGATCTCAGAGGCCACAGGATTCGCAGCCTAAATTCCAATGGGCTGAACTTATCGCCGAACCTAGAGGTAAACTTGCGTTCTTAAGAGACTCATCAGACTCCACAGACATTTAGTGTAAAATTTTTATGGAAATTTAGGTTTTGGCTGTTAAAGAGAGATCTTTTAGAATAACTATGAAGTTCTTATGAGACTTATTAGACTCCACAGACATTTAGTGTAATTTGTTTTTTGGAAATTTAGGTTTGGGCTGTTAGAGAGAGAGAGAGAGCTTTTAGAATAGCTATGAAACCTCATGGCATGGTTTCTAGGTTGGATATGCCCAATCTTGGAATTGAATAGCAGTGAGGAGAATTGATGTAGAAATAGTATTGTCTAGGTTTCGTATGTACATTATGCATATATCTTCGTCTATGGGCTGATAAATTTTCCCTAATCTGTTCTTTGTTTTTTGTCTTCCTCTATTGATGGTTCTGCTTGTCAGTTTGTGTATCTTAGAGACAATCTTCTATCTACATTGGAAGGTGTTGAGATATTGAAGCGAGTCAAGGTCAGCTATCTCAGGTTCTTTTTTCCTCTGCTTTCTGATTTTTGGTTGGTCTAGATTTTCCAACAAATATTTGCATGCTTTCTTCCTTACAGGTTCTGGATTTGAGTTTTAATGATTTCAAAGGGCCTGGGTTTGAACCACTTGAGAACTGTAAAGTGCTACAGGTTTTTTCATTCCCCTTCTTCCTTCTTCGTACATTTTTTGGTTTCTTCATTTATTTAACTGTAGGTGCTATCTGATGGATCTTTTTTAATTTATATTACTTTGGCAGCAACTTTATCTTGCCGGAAATCAGATCACCTCACTTGCAAGCTTGCCTCAACTTCCGAACTTAGAAGTGAGCATCAAAAGGCCCTCTTGTTTCTTTTACCTGCCAAATAACTGTTCTGAATTTGTCATGCTCATTGCCCTACTCCTGTGGATTACTCTAACTTTTGTCAACTTTTGGTTTTGCCTGATTCCCATGTTAGTTTCTGTCTGTTGCTCAAAATAAGTTGAAATCACTTGCAATGGCAAGTCAGCCTCGGCTTCAGGTACATTTTCCCTTTCAGAATTAACTTTATCAGTCCATTCTTTAAGTCACAGAGTTTCAATTTATCACGATTTTCTCAGGTATTAGCTGCCAGCAAGAACAAGATAACAACACTGAAGGGCTTTCCATATCTACCAGTTCTTGAGGTTAGATTCCTTAATTATCTCACTGCATATTCTTGACCCATCAGTTTTCAACCATTGATGGAGTGTTGCACTATTTTATCTAATAGGTCTATGGGAGCTTTCCCCTTGACCAAAATGTTTTGCTTACAACATTTTATAATGGCATAGTCTGCAAGTGCTATCTTGAGCACGTTTTTTGTGGTCATGGTGCTTGAACCACGACGGTTGGACCCCTGTAGTTATTATGATAAAGGATTTTATTTTTATCCAATTCATATATCCAAGTACTTAATTTCCTATTCTTGAGTTTGTGTTTTATCTTCTGCAGCATCTGCGGGTGGAGGAGAATCCAATACTTAAGATGCCTCATTTAGAAGCCGCATCCATAATACTTGTAGGTCCTACTTTGAAGAAATTCAATGATAAAGGTATGTATACCTAATACTGACCTTGTTCGAAATTGATTACTTAAGGAGACTTGTTCTTACCCGTTAGCTGGATAAAGTTGGCTGCATGCTATACTTTTCAGTCATCATATTGACTTTAAAAGAGATTCGCCTCCTGGTGGATGAAACTGAGAATTGAGTAAATAATAATAGTTTGAGGAAAGAGCTATGAGCTGGGTAGCTTAGATCAATGGAGATATAACACAAGGTATATCAGTAGTGATAACTATGGTAACCTGGAAAATTTTGGAATAATGAACATTCTGGTTCTATCAAGACAACAATGGATCACTCACTCCATAGTTGATGAGAACCACTGCACATGGACATATGTATTACTTGGAATGGATTTTATGACTAAATACAGAAAACATCATTTTTAACCAAAACATTGTGCCAGATCTCTCTCGTGAGGAGATTGCAATTGCTAAGCGTTATCCTTCACAAGCAGCCCTCTGCATCAGAGATGGTTGGGAGTTCTGTAAGGCGGAGCTTGCAGCAGGTATGAAATTCTTTTTCAAGAGTTTTATAATCTTTCTTCGCGGCCAGAAGATACTTCACTATGAGTTTGGATTTGCACAGCAGTTCCCAATTTCCTGGAATGTTACTACCATATTTCCTTCCTTTAATGTTCTTCCTATGGGAAGGACTAAGACATTTTATCTCCTTCAATTTTTGTTTGTTGCCAATGCTCGCATTTGGAAGGGTGAATAGTTAATCAAACTGGATTCTGTTTGTTTCTATTGATGTAGTCATTAGATGAGCATTTGTGATCAGATAAAGTTTTTATGTTTCAAGCTGAAAAAAATAATGTAGATATGTCCAATTTCTCGTGGACAGAATCCATGTTTCGCTTCTTAGTTGAGAGGTGGAAGGATAAGTTGCCCTCTGGATACCTTGTCAAAGAAGCATCTATTGATCAACCTTCTGAAGAATCTCCTTGTCAGTGCCACTTTGGCCTAGTGCAAGAAAGTACTCTTGCCACTGTGACTGGTCCAGAATTAACCCTGATATATCAGTGGCTTGTGGCGGACAGATCACTTTCTAATTTTGTTCCTATTCCTGATGCAACCAAAGAGGTAAATTTGCCCTTGTTTTATTTTCATTTGTATGCGTACATTTAAAATGGATAGCAAAATTCTTCATTTCCCTAATATTTTTGTAATATGTAATAGGTCTATTGGCCAAAGCGTGCAGAGATTGGTAAAATTCTTAAAGTCACATGTACTCCTGTTCATGGAGAGACTGAATACCCTCCTATATTTGCTCTATCTTTGCCAGTTTCACGAGGTATGCTTCTTCGTGATAGGATATGCTGGATGGAAGACTTTTTATATCCTGTAGTATATGTCTTTTCCACCACATTTTACCCTCCTTTTGATATATTACAGTTAAGTGTTGTGCAGGAAAGGGAATACCAAAAGTTGTGAGCCTTGAAGTTCAGGGGGAACTTGTGGAGGGCAAGATAGTTAAGGGTCAAGCAGAAGTTGCATGGTGTGGTGGGACACCAGGAAAGTGTGTTGCCAGGTGGGATCGTGGTTGCTGTTTTCACCTTTTCTTGTAATACATGCATGATGCATCTTTTATGATAAATTTACTTTTTCTTAGTTTCTTGTTCTACATGCAAAAGATTGGGCCTAACCTAGAGATGTTACTTTTTTGGGGTTTATTCTTTTGTTTCAAGCTGGCTGAGGAGAAAGTGGAACAGCAGTCCCGTGGTGATTGCTGGAGCAGAAGATGAGGAATATCAGTTATCTTTGGATGATGTTGGTTCGAGTTTGGTTTTCATGTATACACCTTTCACAGAGGAAGGCGCCAGAGGAGAACCTCAGTACAAGTACACAGATTTTGTAAGAGCAGGTGGGCAATTAACCTCATAATCTTGCAATTTGCTTGCCTTTTTTCAGTGTTATTTGGTTTCATCGTTATAAAATCCTGTAATAGCTGTTTCTGCTTGCAGTTTTCTTATTTTGTGGGTTAATTTCTGTTCCATTTAAATTCAGACTCAATTATTGTTCACTTATATTATATGTTATAGGTGTTTCATGTTGTATACTTGTATAATAGTTGGTCATTGGCTGTTATGTTCGCATCTCCTGAAAAAATTGAAAGCCTGCTGTTTGTTAGATTCTTCTGGAGTTAGAGGATTGATTTTGGATGTTGGTGGCAGCTCCTCCATCTGTAAGTAATCTTCGGATTATCGGAGATCCTGTTGAAGGCTGTGTCCTAAAGGGAGTTGGAGATTATTTCGGTGGCAAGGAAGGTCCAAGCAAGTTTGAATGGTTACGCGAGAACATGGAAACTGGGTAAAGATGAATGTTCCGTATGTACATATATTCTCTTGAATTGGTCTATCTGGATCTCCTTTGGTTTTTTGCTATTAGGTGGATAACGTATTGCTTTCATTTTAAAAGAAATATTAAACTTAGTAAATCTGTGATATTAGTCTGCTTCTCTGATATCTCTTCTTTCTTCTTCACTATTCTTGATCTTTATTCATTTCTTATCGTGACATCTTTATCACAGAGACTTATCATTGGTATCAGCTGGAACATCTGTGTATACATTGACCCAGGAAGATGTTGGAAGACGTGTCACTTTTGTGTACATACCTACTAACTTTGAGGGTTGGTTCTCTTTGGTTTTCTTCCCCTCTTCCATTTTGTGACTTTAACCAAGTTATTCACTTCAAGATTTCAGCACAATTCTGATTTGGTCCGGCAAATTTCAGGACAAGAAGGGGAACATGTGTCATCGGCATCCAGCGTAATTAAGCAAGGTATGTTCATTATTCTTGTAGGCGGCTGATTTTAAGCTTTTATGAATTTGTTTTGGTTGGTTTGTTTTGTTTGGGTTATTCTTGTCCAATTTTTTTTTGTTAACTTAGCAAGAATATTCTAGTTCTTCTCACCCTTCTCTCTTTTTTCCATGAAATAAACATCTCCTTGATGTAGTCAGACATGCCTAAAGGGAAACTTGTATATGTTTTCTTCCATTTGTTAGTTTAAGTATATAATCATCTTGTTTATATGCATCTCTTCATTTGCTTCGTTTTCTCAACAAAATATATAGAATGAAAATCTGGAGTATCCAGAATATCTTCATATGAAAGCTTTGATTATTGTTTGAGCAAAATAGTTCCGTGGTTGTTAAAGTTATATTTTTTGGATATCTCTGTCCAACCTGCCTTCCTTAAGGAAACCACTATTTTGCTCTTTTCTAGTATTACTGATCTAGATTTTTCTAATTTGTCCCTCCTTTTCTGTTTTGCCTCATTGATCACCACTGTTTCATTTTTTTACATTGCAGCACCCCCAAAAGTGACAAATGTTAAGATAGTTGGAGACCTAAAGGAGAACAGCAAGGTTACGGCAACAGGTAATGTTACAGGAGGAACTGAAGGTTCAAGCAGAGTGCAATGGTTCAAATCGAGTTGTTCTACTCTCGAAGGGGAGAAGTTTCTTGAAGCATTGAGCACATCAAGAGTTGCAAAGGTAGTCTAATGCACAATAATCATCATACCATGTCTCTAAGACGTGTCTTTTTGTTAATTTTGGTACAAGTTAATGTTTGATTACTTATCATTTTGCCTAGGCATTCCGCATACCTCTGGGGGCAGTCGATTATTACATAGTTGCAAAATATACTCCAATGACCCCTGGTGGCGAATGTGGTGAACCGGTATTTGTAATAACTGAAAGA